CCAACTGGGCCAAAGCATTCTTTGGTAAGCATAGATGAGATTTACCACCACAGTTCCTGCTGCAAACGTCTGAATTTTCCTTTAGGAAATTATAACTATATGTTTTAAAGAAGCTCCTTCAGTCTATAAAAGTACTCCTTCAAGTAGAACATCATGGCTGGTGACTGTCCAACTATAATTTGCGCCATCCTTCTTCCACTTTACATGTGGAGTCCTTCCTCCTTCTCTTGGTTTGTTCTAACCAGAGTCAGGATGGCATTTGAATAGTGGAGGCCTTAATTTGTGCTGTCTAGAATTCTCTCGACACAGTAGTATGCAGGTTATATTCAAATAATTCCAAGTTTGTTGGCATTCCAGCTTTGCACCAAACAGTGTTCCCTAATTTGATTTAATGGTAAACTACAGGCAAAAAGCAGAATTAGATCTAAAAGTTCATCTCTGGATGGTTTTCATAGATTGGCCAGTCTTTTTTAAAAAAAAAAAAATAGCAAGCAAGCAAGCAAACAAACACCTGACTCCACCACATGATGCTCAGTCTTTTTTTTTTTTAAAGCAAGCAAGCAAGCAAACACCTGACTCCACCACATGATGCTCAGTCATGTTGCCAATTTTGGTTATCACAGATCTTTGGGATAACCATCAGTGAGTTTTTGTGCATGAAAAAACTGAGGGTGGTATTCTGAGTTTCTGTTACTGAAAAATGATTTCTGGATTGAGAGATTAGGATTAGAGATGGGAGTATTTTTTTTAAAGCAAGCAAGCAAGCAAACACCTGACTCCACCACATGATGCTCAGTCATGTTGCCAATTTTGGTTATCACAGATCTTTGGGATAACCATCAGTGAGTTTTTGTGCATGAAAAAACTGAGGGTGGTATTCTGAGTTTCTGTTACTGAAAAATGATTTCTGGATTGAGAGATTAGGATTAGAGATGGGAGTATTCGTATACAAATACAAATATCCCCGCACAGGTGGCATTAACAAGGGTCCACTCACTGATCCGCCATGGACTCAGATGGTGCGATTCTACCAATGGCTCTGCAGTGCTCGCCACTCCTGGCAGGAGATGGGAGGACAAGGTGAGTGGACCGTCTGGCCCCATGGTGCTGGCCCCATGGTGCTGGGCCCTCGTAAATGCAACCTGTTCAGTGGTGAGCGGATCGTGGCCTGTGGAGCCATTGGTAGATTTGTGTTGTCTACATCTGCAGCAGATAGGTGAGTGGACCGTCTGGCCCCATGGGGCTGGGCCCTCGTAAATGCAACCTGTTCAGGGTTATTCGTATACAAATACCCCATCTCTAATTAGGATATATATTTATACAGTGGTGCCTCACTTGACGACGTTAATTCGTTCCAGCGAAATCGCTGTAGAGCAAAAACGTAAAGTGAAATAAAAAAGCCCATTGAAATGAATTGAAAACCATTCAGTGTGTTCCAGTGGGCTGAAAACTCACCGTCCAGCGAAGATCTTCCATAGGGGCGGCCATTTTCCATGCCTGTGCAGCAAGGAATTCGTCCCAAGCACAGCGGGGGACCATTTTCTTCAGCTGGCGGCCATTCTGAAACTCGATCAGCTGTTTTTGATCGCCGTAAAGCGAAAATCGGTTCCCGAAGCAGGGAACCGATCATTGCAAAGCGGAAAAACCCCAGTCAAGCCATCGTTTTGTGATTGAAAATGTGATAGCAAAAACCTCACCAGCAAGCCGATTCGTTGTTAAACAGGGTAATCGTAAAGCGGGGCACGACTGTAAATGGCTGTTCCTAGTAACGTTTCCTATCAGCCTGTCTGGCACTGGCTGCTAGGAATTTCAATCCAGTAACTCCTTGGAAATCCTAGTTCCTCAAGCCCTGCTTTAATTTTATAAATGGATGCCTCAGCAATTGATTGTCCTGACATGTAACTTGTACTGTATAGTGGACAAGAAGTGATTGCTTTCAATAAAATATGGAGAGGCAGAATGATTTCCTATAGTCAGTGGTGTCATTTTATCTCCCTATCTATTCAGTTTGTTTGCAGAACACATCAGATTCTAGCTGGACTAGACACGTCAGGACAAGGACATAATAATAATGTGGTGAGGGGGGGTTGAATATGTCATAGAAGCTGAGAGCAATGCCATCAGGAGGCTAGACTCCATTACAAGTCTAGACTCCTAAAAGGGTCACCTAAGGCAGAAGGTTGACATTTGAGGCCCCAAACTAAGATGCATCCACCCTTTTTAGGAATAAAGGCTGCATCAGCAGAAGAGAATGAATAGTTCCAGTGGTGATGGGGTCTGTATGCAATATGGAGATTCTATCTGGAATGACATCACATGAAGGAGGAGTGAAAATTCATGGAAGAAACATCAATAATATAAGATATGCAGACGAGACCATTTTACTAGTAGAAAGCAGCAATGACTTGAATTGACTTCTAATGAAAATGAAAGAGTGGACTGCCAAAAAGATGAACAAGTGGGTCCTAGATAAAATCAAGCCTGAACTATCTCTGAAGGCAAAAATGCTGAAGCTGAGGCTGTCCTACTTTGGGTGCATCATGAAAAGGCAGGATTCTCTGGAAAAGATAATGCTGGGAAAGCTGAAGTTAGGAAGAAAAGAAGAAGACCAAATATGAAATGGATTAATTTTAAAAGGAAGCCACCAGCTTGAGTCTACAAGAGCTGAGCAGACCTGTTGAGGGCAGGGCATTTTGGAGATCGTTTTGTGACAGGGTCACCATAGGTCAAAGATGACTTGCCAACACCCAACAACCACCACCATATTACTTCCTTACTAACACTTCTGAAGCCTTTTGCATCTCTCATTTTCCTTTCTACATTGTAGGAATGCATATCCTAAACCCATATTTTAAGTTAATGTTTTTTAAAAATTTAAAGTTGCGTTTGCTTGTGGCAGGGGACTAATTGTTGATATAAATTGCATGTTTGTACTATATTTTATATCATCTGATTGAATTTACTGTTGTACACTGCCCAGAGAGTGCTACACACTATGGGGTGGTGTACAAGTTGAAGAAATAAATAAATAAATAAAATATTTTGCCAAATTAATGTGTATTAAATGCCACATGTCCCCATGTACAGTACGACACGGATATGGTTTGGAAAGTATCCAATCCAAACACTGCCTTGTTTGACTCTCTCTGTGTGTGTGTGTATGTGTGCATGTGCGTGTGCACTTGTGGCCGAACTGCAAAACAGAGGGAACCATTTCCTGAGGTGATTATATTCTCTATTAATTCAAGCTGCAGTCTCATTCCAGGCGCTGTAAGTGGAATGTTCTGTATCATTAAAGCTAGGTTATGGAACTGTCTAGAGAATCACTGTTGCATTTGGTGACATACTGCTGTCTCACTCACTGCTTCATTAAAATGTAGAGTATTTCTTGTTATTTTAAATCAGTATGGAATTCATTCTTCCTTGTTATCATCTGGTGGTGGTGGGAAGATGTAAACAGTAGGATTACTGCTGTATAAAGTCCTGGGTGCAGCGAAACAGTTTAAATTTGAAATTGTAAACATTAGGAAAATGACTAGAAAACTAGCTCTTTCTCATCATTCTGTATATGTCATTCTGAATTTTAAATCACCCACTTTCATTTGAAAAAGAAAGATTATTGGAGTCAGAATTGGATTGACTACAAGTCCATAACCATGTGATATATTTGACAATTTCTATAATCCAAAGTGTTGGCTGGATAGCTCAGTGAAGTTAGGTATCTGGCTGTGGGACAGAGGCTGGAAGTTTAATTCCCCTTTCTGCTTCCCAGAGGGAGCCATCCTGTGTTGCCTGGGGCAAGCTGCACAATCCCAGGATGCCCCTAAAAGAAGGGGATGAATAGTAAACCATTTCTGAGTACTCTCTGCCTAGAAAACCCTGGGAAGGGTTGCCATAAATCAGAATTGGCTTGATAACACACCATTAATATTAGAATCCAATGCAGTGTTGAACACTCCTCAACTAATGTGATGGCTGCAGTTGTCCGTACAAACATGAGATAGTTGTATGGATGGTTATTTATAGTGACCAAGTACAATTTTATATAAATAATAATCTGGGGTGTGAGATTCCTCTCCACAGTATTAACTGCCATGGGAATGCATGAAGTCTTGAATTTTAAACAAATCTTTTATTTCAGAATAAACTCATTATTCTGTGGAAGCAAATGCAGGGACAATTAGATGGCAATTTTTACATCAGGTGTTGGGTTCACTTTGGGAGTCGGTGACATTTAGCGGTAGATTCAGAAGTAAAGTCTGTCATAATGATAGTCTTCAGAGTTGCACTCTTAAGAGTGAGACAAAAATGCAGGCACCTGTGACGACCCATACGAGCAATCCAGTTCCCACAGTTTTTATCTCCACCAGGAGCACCTCTTTTGTAAAGCTGATGGTAGTTTCTCATTCAGACCAAGATGGCGCAAAACACTTCAACTGAAATCATGTCAGGCAGCTCCATGTGCGTGATGGGAATGATCAGCAGTGGGAGATCACCAATGATTAAAGGCTTCCTTTGGAGATTTCAGCATACACATGACTTGTATGGAGTGCAATGAATTCACATGCACCCTGAAATTGCCAGAGGAAGCCCTTGTTCAGTGGTGATTTGCTGCTGCTGCTGCTGCTCACAGCATTCCCACGGTGCATACAGAGCGGTGCAACAGGATTTTAGCCTTTACGTTACAAACTGCAGGTATGTAGAGAAGAGATGATAATAATCTTTGAACTGCAGAGCTAGAACAAAGCCTAAGCATAGGAGTGGACTAAGTATAGTGTATGGATCACATGTGCCCCCCCTCAGCTGTTTCTATCCCCCAAAAGCCATCCTAGAGACTCCTGCTTCAAAAAATAAACAAACTTTTTTTTGGGGGGGGGGAGAGGGAAAAAGGTGCCACATCTACTCTTGGAGGCTCCCGATAAATATTAAAAGATTAAAAGGAATTTGATCTATTTCTGAGTTATACAAATACGGTTTGTTTTCTTTCTTTTGTTTCCAAGGCATAACCACTGTTTTGACTATGACCACACTGAGCATCAGCGCTAGGCATTCCTTGCCCAAAGTCTCCTATGCCACTGCCATGGACTGGTTCATCGCCGTGTGTTTTGCCTTTGTATTCTCTGCACTGATTGAGTTTGCGGCTGTCAACTATTTCACCAACATTCAGATGGAAAAGGCCAAAAGGAAAGCTGTGAAATCTGCCTTGGAATTTACAGCGACTCCCATGCAGAAGGAAAATTGTGCAGACGAGGCACTCACGGTATTTAGTTGAATTAATGTATGCTTGAAGATTGCTAACAAAATGTCTTTGTAAGCGTGTATGGAAATATTTTTAAGGACTAACCACAGCCTTGAGCTGTAAGGCCAGATTCTGTCACTCATTTCCCTTTTTAGATTATTTACTTCACCCTGCTTTTCCATGACATATGACTTCTATTGGGACTCTCAGAAGAACAGAATCTGGACATCCATCTTTTTAGGCAATAAATGCCACTATTCCCTAGCCAACATGGCCACGACTGGGATATTGTGGGACCTATATCAGGCAAAATGAAAGAAAAGAAAAAAAAGTAAATTTAGCCATCTCTTTCTAAGACCTTAAGAAAAGCTCTGTTGGATCAGACCAGATTCCTGTTTAGGTTACTGTCATCTAAGCCAGAGTGGCCAACTAGATGCCTACTGGAAGTCCAAGGTCAGACTGTGGGGGCATGTTTACTGTGTGGGTGGGCAACTGTGCTCCCCAACTCTCATTGGCTCCCTTCAGCATAGTCAGGCAGTGAAGGTTTATGGGATCAGTGTTTCAAAATATCTGGCTGGCCATAGGTGCCCATCCCTAGTCTACTGTTTTGGTTACATTCTTTGCCAAGCTGCCTTTGTTGTCTTTCCCCTTCAATCTTACTCTGGCATAGCCCTGCTTTGCATCTGTATTAATAATGTAGCATACTACCTGCCACTTCAGCAGTCATTAAACCAACCCTTATGTTAGATCTTTTTTCTGCTTTCTGGGGTGTCATTTTCTAAACAAGCAAAGGGATCTCGGCTTGAACAAGAAAATTACTGGTAGTGTATTATGTTTACTTTTATTAAGATATTTTATAGCACCTCTGGGAGATCTACAAAATGAAGTGCATCAAACTTTGCAGTATGTGTGTGTAATATGGGCACACACACACAAAAAATGAATGGCATGTTAATACTGTCGCTTATGTTACTTTGCATGAGTGACATTATTAATACTGTATAGCTATTTTAGAATTGGCCTTGTTATGACTCCCCAGCTTCTCTCGAAGATAAGGTTGTAGAGCAGTGGTCCCCAACCTTGGGCCTCCAGATGTTCTTGGACTACAGCTCCCAGAAGCCTTCACCACCACCTCTGCTGGCCAGGATTTCTGGGACCTGAAGTCCAAGTACATCTGGAGGCCCAGGGTAGGAGACCACTGTTGTAGAGTATCTGGTCCTCCAGATGTTGAACTGCAGCTCTGTTTGGCACAGCTTGGGAATGGATAGAACTCCCCCTGTTTGAGGGGAAAACCTGGGACTTTGGGATACCATTAGTGATTACGGCTGATGAAATGCTTTCCCACAGAAAATAGTTATGGTCATGCATGTCTTTATTTTTTAATGGGCATTAAAAACGTAGTTCAGTCTGCTTTTAATAAATTCCAATGAAGTGCATCATACTTTGCGGTATACATTCTATATTTTACACAAAGTGGTTTTAATTATTACTGACATATTTATTTAGAATTTATCTTAGGATGGTATTTTGATACTGCTTTGAGTTAATAACAGTCATGGGTGTACCTACATGAGTGTGTGTATGTACACTGTACTGGTAGTCAGTCAGTCACCTTTCACTGTAAAGTTACAATTTTTTTTCAGTGATATAGGTGGGGCCAGTCTGATATCAGTGGATTAGATTCTGGAGGAAGGGGGAATTGTGTGCAATGAATCTTTAGCACCAAGTTTTAAATAAGAATAGTGTGAGAAAATTAATACAGAATGCATAGGAGTTTCGTTTTTGTGAGGCTTCATAAAAGGAATCTGCCCTTTTAAAATTATTACTGAAAAGAAATGTCAAAACGGAACACTCATTTACGAAATTGTAGTTCAACTCATTCAGCCTGACCCAAACGTTAACTTCCACCATCAGTGTTGACTCACACCATCAGACTTGTTCCTCATCAAGAAAGAGTAAGTATTGCCTGGAGAAAATGTTAACACAATTGTCTTTACATTATTTTGCAGTATTTTCACACCTTTTTGAGAAGGTTGCTATTATTTGGGTAGTGCCCTAAAATTAACTTGATTTCAGGCATATCTGTTTACACTCAGTGTGGCTGTTATCCCACATTAGAACATGCCTGATATACCAAACCAAATCTGCACTGCAGATTTTCCTTGAAGTTGCACAGATGTTATAGGATATTTAAACACAGCTGTACAGTGTATACCTGTGTTTAGTTTCATTGTCTGACTTCCTTTTCTTTAACAGCCACAAGATGTTGATTCCAACATATGAAGACAGTTGTAAAATAATTCAACAAAACTGCATGGATCTGAACATTTTTATTCTTCTCTTACTAGCCCATACACTTGTGCATTGGTCATTTGATGTGGCATAAATTAAATGTGGTTTGAGATTTGTCCCTGTGGATGTTTTGGACTAAAGTGACACACTACGGTGGGAGGATAGGGGCAGATGAAGAAGGAGTCCACTTATATCTTAGACTTCCTTTGTGGTAGGGGAATGCTAAAGCTTAAGTTATGATGAGAGCATACTGTATTTTTCCATTCAGGCCCAGGGCTTTCAGTGCTAAACTCTTAAAAATCTGTATCTTGATGTAGCTTAATGTTGCCACTTATTTTCTTCCTAGAAGGATAAGCATAACCTAGGCAAACCTAGGCCGTGAGAGCATTCAGTGACGTGGGCAGAGGAACATTAAGCAGTTGAAATGTGACTGTCAAACAGGGTCTGGAGTGGAGCTTTGGTATCTGTTACACATAGCCAAATAAAGCCCATATGCAAATCATGTCATTGCCAGGCAACTCAAAGGCACCAGATTGGGGAAGGCTATTAGGTTTTGAATTTTGTGCAAAAACTCAGCACAAAGGTGAGGGGGGCATTCCATTTACCATGCTTGAGAAATTTTCCTTTTTTACTAAATATGTGTCTCTGTTCTTCACTCTGTTGATGTTTTATTAGGTAATTTTGTTCCTTCACTAGCAACTGTGCATGTACATGTATCTGTGTATATGAGAGAGAAAAAGAGAGAGACGGAGGGCAGGGGAGAGAAGTGCAGGCAGGTGGAATTGTGTGCAAATAACAATGGTATAGAAAATTTGCTTTGGTAAGAAAACGCACACCACTTTTTGCATATGCCTGGTGCCTTCTGAATTGCCTGGGACAGATGGGATTTGTAGTCCTGCATCTGTGGAGGACACGAGAAAATAAAAGCCATTTCGTTGTGGGTGACTAGTCTAGATAATCAAAGAAACAGAGCCAGCATGAATTACCACTAACTTTAGGTTTGCAAAATATCTCATTTAATTCAAAGCACAAGCTGAATGAGAGAAGAGAGCTTGCTTGAAGCTGACCTAGTTTCTAAACAGTTACTCTCCCAGGGGTAGATGACAAGGGTTAAATATTGTGCTAATAAAGATTAGGAGATTACTAGGAAAGGGAACATTTTGCTGTGACCCTGATTCACAGTGAAACTCTTCATCACCAGATGTTTTAAAAATGTACTTCTTTAAAAATAGAATTTATCAGCATAAAAATAAGAAGAACCTGACCTGAGAGCATTAAGAATAGAATCATACTTTCATTAAAAGCCCCTGTGGGAATAACAAGATGATATGGGAGACCTGGGACTGGCATCTATCTGCGTTGCGTTTACCCCACTCAGCTTCCAGGGCAATGTTTAGCAAAGAAAACTGATGCCATGCTGTCAGTGACTGCAGCATCTCTATTGCAGTATGCTGAGGGAACAACCAGTATAATGGGTGGGCCACTATGGCCCTCTAGATGCTTTTGGCTTACAACTACCATCAGTCCTCACCAGCATAGCCTGAACTGGATTATTAGAGTTGCTTTCCAAAAACACCCAGAGAGCTGCAATTACTCTTCCCTGCTGTTTATTAAATTCTGCCTCTCCTAAACGAAGAGTTTAATATGATAGGAATACAACAAATAAATAATAAATAAACCAAAATGTTTTTCTATTAATTGCTATGAGACTCCGAGACTCTGAATTTTAGTTTCAGCCTAGTGCTTAGCTTTTAAGTGCTAAATTGTCATCATCTCCAAAACCACAAGCGCTAGAGTTTTAGTCATTATTTTAATACAATGTGAAGTCATTTGACCAAAAATGTGTGTAGAAAAGCACGTGTTACAATGTCCTCATGAGTCAGACAACACCATTCCTGAGAGGAAATGAAGATCATGTTTCAGTGCTTCTGTGTTAACAGTTTCTTACTGTTTATAATCTAGCACATAAAGGGAAGACGTTTAAATTAGCCACGTTAAGGACATCAGGTCTACTTATTAGCCCCCACCACCACCACTACATCTATGCTTTTTGCTTGTTTCCTCCTTTCCACTGTTACGTAATTACATGACTCACGCTTAGTCATTTTAGTGCTACTGTTTAATATTCCGGCAAACTGGTAGCTGTAAATCTCAATTTTGGTAGGAAAGCATAGTTCCAGTATATTGCAAATGACTTCACTAGGTGCAACATAGTTTTGTTTCTCATAAATTGGTAATACGTGTAAAATAATCTTCTACTTTCTTTTCTGACTCAAGTGGAGGATTATGGAGGCTTAGAAGATTTTTTTTTCAGACTTTGTACTGAAGATGAACTGCTATTTTTAATGGGCAGTCCTTCAAGATTACAAAGGCTGGGTTGACTTTTACTTGAACATTATTTTATGCAGTGATGGTTCTGCCTGGAAAGATTTGGATGGAGAGCTGGGAACAGGAAATGAACTTTGGATTTTTCATTTTATTTTGCTTTGTTTTTGAATGAAAGCTCCTTTTTTCTCTCTCTTGCATCAATATAGATTTTCTCCCATAAGGTGCACTTCACACACATACTGAACAGAACTGCCATAATGTTTAACAATAGATTAGATAGATTATGCAGCAAATTATGCTAGTGCCATACTCTATTGCATTATACACGGTCAATTTAATGTGCTTCCATTTGGAAAGAGATCACCATGGAATTAATTACAATATTTATGCATGCCTGGAAG